TTCAAGTTGCAACAAGTAAATATTATTTGGTAAATAAATGTTATCTAGATAGGAATTGATATATGGTTTTATATTTCAAGACAAGATTCCATCTATTTCAATTTAAAAATGAGCCTCCAAATAATATGCAAGAAGCTTTCGATCGTTCTAATTCACTTTCAGTTGTTCTCATTTATCACTACAAAATTATATTGAAAGATCATTTGGAATCTTGAAGAGTCAATGTAATATACTCCTTAGAATGCCCAAATTTAATGTGCAAACTCAAATTGACATTATTATAGCTATATTTTCCTTTGCATTACTACAAGGGTCGTATCTCTGAGCAAGCAACATTTTTTTTATTTCATTGAACTACATCCAGATTGCATACCACATGATGAACCTCGTGATTTCCGCGGTAATGAAACAAGTAATGAAGACTTATACGATGTCATGAAGCGTGTCGGCAATGATATTGCTACTTTAATATGGAATGCTCGACGTCGATAATATTATCAATAGTTTTTACGTTGCAATATAACTTTTGATTTTTGTTATGGAACATGGTTAAGGAAAATTGCTAAATTTTAAGAATTATAGTTAGACAATATTTTATTTATTTATTATGTTTCAGAATTAGCATTTAAATAGATGCCCTTTTATGTAATTTTACACAGTTGAAAAACTTCAAACTATTTTTTGTCAAACACTCATATAATAAATAAAAGTTACAACTTTCAATTACAAGTTACCAGCTAGTTTTTCCAAACAAGCCATATTTTAATTATTATCCCATTTATATCAATCCACCGATAGCTATATTATCCTATTATCCTCGTTTGTTCATAGTTATATTACCCCCATTTATTTATAAAGAGTGTTTATTAATCGACGATTATCAAGAGTAGCTATTTTTATTCATCGAGAAGGTTATTGCAATGTGAGGCTTTCAACCCTTTTTATTCTTAAATCCTGACTTGGCTTCTGCCCCGAACCGAAAACATTAATATCGATAAGTAATAATTTATGAAACCGAAAACCAAATCAAATATGCTTATATGGATTCAAGTTCCAACTCGATTATTCTGCAAACGGCTAATTTGCACGTCTCTTAAATCACTTAATTTTAAACAAACATTTGTTAAAGCTTTAATAAAAAATATTTTCAAAAGATTTTTTTTTCTTCTAAAAAAGACATTGAAAGTCTTCAAATATGATTTGATTCTTTCTGATTTTAAAAGTTGACTTTTCCTATAAATGCTGACAACGATTTTATATTCTAAGGCTATACGGAATAGGGGCATCCCCTTACGCGTTATGTGACTTGCCAAGTCATGCATGAAATGCAGCCAAACACCACCCCCGTCTTGTTTAATTGTGAGCTCTCGTAGCCACAGCCCCACAACAATCTCTTTGTTTTCTCCCTCTCTTTCTATCTCTCTCTTCTTTCCCTTTACGCACTTCTTCCCTATTACTAAACACCATTTCCTAAGGCTTGTAAGAAGCTAGTTGAGTTGATAAATGGTTGATGTGGCCATTTAATTACTATGCGTTAAAACCTCCCATCCACTCTGTATACCATAATATAACACGATTCCTCTCGATAACTATACTTTTTCCACTCTTCCTCCACTTGCAGTTCCAACAACAATTGCAACATCATGGTTCTAGTTAACAACAACATCACAACAATGGCGGAAAAGAGCAACACCATGGTTCCGGTTACCAAAACAACCAACGGTGGTGAGGTAATACTTCCTCCTTTTACTGAAGATCGCAAACCGCAGTTTCCGCCCATCGTTTCATCTTACAACGATAAAATACGACCCATTCTTGATGCCGTTGACAAGCTCCGTCATCTCAAAGTCACCCAAGAAGGCATCCCTCTTCCAGCCATCGTCGTTGTTGGAGACCAGTCCTCCGGCAAGTCCAGCGTTCTAGAGTCACTTGCAGGCATAAGTTTGCCACGTGGACAGAACATTTGCACAAGGGTACCTCTTATTATGAGGCTTCAAAACCATCCAGATGCTGTGCCGGAACTCGTACTGGAGTATCAGAAAGAAAAAAACGGTGATGATAATGGAAGAAAGACAAATATCAGATGCCATTGATAAAGCTACTGTGGAGATAGCCGGAGATAATAAAGGGATATCAAATGTGCCCTTAACTTTAGTGGTCAAGAAGAATGGTGTTCCAAATCTCACCATGATTGATTTGCCCGGAATAGCTCGGGTTGCTGTGGGTGATCAACCGGAAAACATTTACGAACAGATTTCAGGTACTTGGTTTGTCACAAGTGTTATAACTCTATGAAGACTAGAAATATATGTGCTTTATTATTGGTTTTTGAATGTTTCAGATATGATAATGGAGCATATTAAGCCAGAAGAGAGTATCATTTTGAATGTTCTTGACGCAAATGTTGATTTTTCAACTTGTGAATCCATTTGCATGTCACGACGTGTTGACAGCACCGGACAAAGGACTTTGGCAGTGGTAACAAAATCCGATCAGTCGCCGGAGGGCTTACTTGAGAAGGTAATGTCAAATGATGTCAATATCGGACTTGGCTATATCTGTGTTAGAAACCGTATCAAAGATGAAACCTATGAAGAGGCTCGAATGCAAGAAGCGACACTCTTTCAAACTCACCCATTGTTGTCCAAGATGGACAAGTCCATTATAGGTATTCCTGTATTGGCACGTAGACTTATGGAAATACAATCAATGATCATATCAAAATGTTTACTGGACATTGTCAAGAAGATCAATGAGAGACTTAATGCTTCGGTTTTGGAACTCAACAAGCTACCCCGGATTCTTACTAGTATTCCCGATGCAATGGCTGCTTTTTTGCAAATCGTTGGGTCCTTAAAAGAAACGTTTCAAAAGATCTTGATTCGAGGTGAGCTTGAGTATGATGATAAAGAAATGCATTGCAATGCTCGATTGGCTGAAATGTTGGATGAGTTTTCAGAAGAACTCCACAAGAGTGACAAAATTTCTGAAAATTTTCTTGTTGAGGAGATGCTGGTTTTAGAGGAAGCAAATGGGATTCGGTTGTCTTTTTTTCTCTCACACTCAGCGTTTCTGTATTTGCTTAAGAAGAAATTGACCAACATCTCTAATTTGCCGATTAGCTTCTTAAACAAAGTCTGGGGATATCTTGAGATTGTTTGGGTTAGAGTCTTGATGGATCATTGTGAGAATCATCCACAAATTCTTCCTTCCATAAAGAAAGCATCTTTGAATGTGATGTTAAGAATGAAGGAGAAGTTGGTGGAAAGGGTTTTTGAGAAGATTGAAAGGGAAAAAGCAACAGATTACACTTGTGACCCCGATTTCATAGCTTCTTGTAACAAATTAATGGGCAAGCGTGATGAGTTTTTGAGGGCAGTCCCCAATCGTAATTCATTTTCTATGGAAGGTTATGGGTCGATTGATATCACACATCTAGTGAGTGTTCCAGCAACCAAAAGAGATCAAGCATTTGACTTGAAAATGAGGATCATGGCTTACTGGAAAATTGTTTCGCGAAGAATGGTGGATTGGATAGCTCTTGAGCTTCGATTTGTGATACAAAAAATGGTGAACAAGGTGATGGAAAAGGAGATAGTAAATGAGGTGATGATGCGTGGTGGTGGTGGTGGTGGTGGTGGTGGTATGGAGAAAATGCTGGATGAACCAACTCCAGTGGCCGCAAAGAGGGAGAGGCTTCAAATGAGTATCGGTTTGCTCCAGGAATCACAACAAATTATCCAACAAGTCATGGATGCTATTTGAATAATCACTGATCAAAAAAGAAGTGTGGGAACTAATCATTTTGTTTGCATGTTTGGTATTTAGCTAATTAGGGTTTATGGTACTAAGTGTTATGATCGCATGGTTAAATTCCTTTAACACTATTAGAAAAACATTGATTTACATACCAAAAGTACCGACGGAATACCTATGGATTTGGATGCCCTAATTTAGTAACCAAATTACGAAGGAATAGCTACGGAATAGTGACAAAAGGTGGGCCATAGGTAATTATTGACGTAATAGCTACGAAATACCAACAGAAGGAAATAGCTACAGAATAGAAACCAAATACCGACGGACTATTATAATTTCCATTGTTATTGTTATTATTTTTCATTATTCAAGTATGAAAACGTAGTTTTTTTAAGTTTTTTTTTTAACATATTTATCATGCGTACATACATTATTGTATTATATATACATGCAACCATATAACACCCGGAGAGAAAAAACAAATCTAAAAAAACTCTGTTTAACACATGAATAATTAAAAATGATATTAATAGTACTAAGAATAATAATATGTAACACATGAATAAGTGAAAAAAAGGTTGTGTGTATGTGTGTATATATGTACATGTATGTATGTGTATGTGTGTCTAGGAGTGTGTATATATATATATATATATATATATATATATATATATATATATATATGTGTGTGTGTGTGTGTGTGTGTGTGTGTTTATTTGTGTATATATGTATGTACAAAACATACATAAAATGTTTCATTTTTTATTCATCAATCACATAGTATTTGTCCAAAAAACCATCATTGTAAAAATGTATCATAATCATCAGATTGCATTGCTATGAAAGTTGGTAACAAATTAAATTACATTGCTATGATCATCCTCCAGAAGTTTAAAGGCATCTGAAAAATATTAAAAAGGTTAAAAGTCTTAATAACTTTACATACTCAGATATCATGATCTTTACCTAATAGTAATACAAATAAATCCTGAAAAAGTGAGCAGCTTACATGGCTTATTTCCTTCTGATCCACTCTCTTGTAATGATTTTTGTGATGGGTGTGATCCAGTCAACATACACATTGATAAAAAAAATTATGATACTGAAACATTTAGTTTATTAAACATTTCGGATTCAAAAGCAAAAATGAATTTTATAAAATACTCATTTTTGCATCCTACATTCTGCAATTTACAATAAAAAATTAATTATAATATCCTACTTTGATGGATACATATTTCCTACCTGATGATAATTTCTGCTTCACCTGACCTTCATAAATCAATTGTGAAAGTATGTTCAAAATTAGGATTTCAATAAAATTATGATCAACATGTGCTTCTCTTTGAAATTATAGTTATTCTCAAAAATAAAAAAGTGTTTGTGTTTAGCTTAACCTTCAACGACCAGTTCAAAATTAGGATTTCAACAAAAGTATGATCAAACATGTTCAAAAATAACTATGGAGGTCCATATTTCTCAAACAACAGCTTCATAATCATTTTATGTGAAATTAAGCTTCTAATAGTGTTTAGCTTAACCTTAAATGACCAGTTCCAACGTTTATAAATAATTTAAGGATCCGAATAAAAATTATTAATTCTAGGGTTTCAATATTACCTTCCATGAACTGAATCCATGACAGAAATTCGAGGTTTAAGGTTGTCAAAGAATGGAGTCCAACCATCACCAGCCTCATCCGGACCACCAGCGCCGCTACTGGTCGGCTGTAACATCCCCGACGACCACCCCTCTCCACTGCTCTCGCTTCTATTTCTCGGTTTCAATCCTCCATCAAGCACCATAGAGAGGAGGGAAAGGGGGTTTCCGTGTTGCTTCGCAGCCTTCTTTTCCGGTGAGGATGTCGGCTTCCCCTTCCCCTTTGTTTTTCTTCTGATCGTATATGAAACACACGACATACACAAGCACTTTTTTTGTTTTATGTTCTTATTCCCACATCTGATCGAACATGAGGAAATAAGGTTTTAATTTCCCTTTTTTTTTTCTTTTATTTACTTATTTTTTTTAGTATAATTGTTATAAATTTTTTTTAAGAAGAAAGTTTTACATAGACGTAGCGGGTAAACGAACAACAAGCTGTACCGCAACCCTTTTTTGGATGACAAAACTAATTCTTTTAAAACAAAATCTATAGATTTTGGAGTCATAACATTACTTATTTTACTTTTTAAAATAACCAAATCAATAACCCATTAATATTATTTTTTTAAATATTTTTTAATTGGTTGATAAATCAAATAACAGTTTAAGTCTTCGTGAATGAATATGCTTTCTCCATTTCCTATTATAAGTTAAAAGAGAAAAATAACATAACTTAGAAGAAAAGCCTAATAATTATTTGTAGAGTAAATTACAGAGATGGTCCTTATGGTTTGGTCGAATTCTCAGTTTTGGTCTCTAAGTTTAAAATTTGATAGGTTACATCCCTGTGGTTTTTGAAAATTGCATTGTTGGTACTTGGTACATATAAAAAGATCAAATTACCATTTCTTTCTTTTTTTTTTCTTTTTCCTTTTAACAATTTATTATTATTATTATTATTATTATTATTATTATTATTAACATATATATATATATATATATATATATATATATATATATATATATATATATATATATATATATATATATATATATATATGATGACACGCCCCTCAGAGCGGGCTAGGAATAAAGGAATCCCCCAGCGAGGCCCGGCCAGGCCGAACTTGGCCACCCCAGCAGCTAGGCGCCCCAGCGGAACCCCCAGCTGCCAGGCACCCTAGCAGGACGACCGTGTGGAAGGCCCATCCCCGCTAAGGGGCGCCTTCCACTACAGTCCAAGGATAACGGCTCCAAGGCGACAAGGAGCACATCCAGAGCATTATCGTCTAGACCAATCATTGGACCTGACACAACGATGAACACAACTCACCAATAAGGACAGCGGCTCTTGTCGGGACTGCAGTCCTTGTTCCTCGTACAGACCGAGGAAGATCCTCAGTATAAAAGGACCACCATTCTGCTCTGAAGGGTAAGCTATCTCTCCTGATTCTCAGCACTTACTCTCCAATACACTACTAACTTGACCGTCGGAGCTTTTTCCCGGGACCTCCTCCCGGAGAACGGCTGACGGCTTTCTCTCTTTGTGACCTCTCAGGTTTTTCTCCGACGAACACAGCTTTCACCCTCTAGGTGGTCGAAGGTCAGGTCGCATCATTTGGTGTCATCCGCTTGTGTGACAAAAGATACGCAAACCCATTTTTTCCTCTTTAACTCCGCCACAAATGACGGACGAGGCCGCCGGCGAGCCATCTGAAACACCACATAGCCTGATACGCCCAATGGTCTCACTAGAGACGACCAACACCCCAATAACACCACCACCTCAGACGATCGGCGTGGTTTCTGAGGCACCACCATCCGGTGGCCCGCCACCTTCCCTTGCAACAACTGCGCCTTCCGTCACAACCCACAAACCAATACCCACACTGAATAGCATAACCCCACCGTTGTTCCCCAACGACGGCGGACCCAATCCGCCCATTTCACCTCCTATACCGCTGTTTTTTTCCAACACCGGCAGATTAAACGTCGGTTACAACTTCTTACCACCACCCATACACACCACAAACGAGCAACGGCAAACGACATTCATAACACCACCGTTAAACGGGATGCCCTCGCTCACACACACAACGCCGACAAATAACACGCTAATGGCCCAAGCGTCGTTTTCCAAGCGCAAAACCACCCACCACTAGTGACAGGAGCCATGACGGCACCGCCATTCATGCCCTACCAGCAAATCCCCATGACCCACACGTTTCCCACCCCATTCCAGCAACATAACTTCTATGGCCCAACACCACCAGACCTTGCGGCCTACAATAACATGCTGGTCCAACCATTCCTGGCAATGCAACAACCAGGATACCACTTTGCTCAACGGACACCGGACCAAGACTGCCTTTCACGCAGTGTCACATCACCGTTCGTGAAAGAGTTGCTGGAATATGAGATCCCCAACACCGCTAAACTACCTCACCTCAAAACATACGACGACACCACATACCCGGACAGCTAAATCGACACATACGAATGGGCGATGACGTCCCTCAAGCTAGACGAACGCTTCTGGTGCACGTATTTCCCTACCACTCTACACTACAAGAAAAAGTTGAAATAACGACGGAAAAATTCCATAGCTAAAACATGATATTCTGTAGTTAAAATCGATTAGCGACGAAATTTGCTACGGATCCATTCTGTAGGAAAATTCTTCGTTAGTAAAGGTTCGTTACGAAATCCATCGCACATTCGCAACGGAATTTACAACAGACTTATTTCGTAGAAAACCTGCTATGGACTACATCCGTAGCAACTACGTAGCAAATTAACTACAATTTATTTCCGTATCATGTCCGTAGTGAATTAACTACGCCCCGATCCGTAGTAAATCTGTCGCAAATTAACTACAAACTAAATTTGTAGCTAGTTTCTGTAGCAAATCCACTATGGGTAATGGCATAGCTAGTACTCCGTAGTAAATTTACTATGACCGAATTTTGTTACAAATTAACTACAAACTGGCCCCGTAGCTAATTTTCGTAGCAAATCAACTATGGGTAATATTGTAGCAAACATTCCATAGTGAATTTACTACGATGTATCAAATATGTTGTAGTAAATTTACCACAACCTACTTCTGTTGCAGAAAAATGTGACGGAATATGTTTCATAGCAACATCCATAACAATTCAACTACAAAAATGTGACAGAATTAATTAAAATAAATACAAAAATGACTAGACTTTTTCCAAAGCAAATTAATAACAAAATCAACATTATGAAATTGCATTAAACAGTAAAAGAAATTACATCAACTCTGAATAAAAACATAGTTTATCATCAAATAAAATTTCACTTTGTCCAAAACACCAATTATAATATCCCAAAATTTTCCAATAAATTTAAACTTTTCGAAACATTTATTTTGTAAAAAAAAACATCCATCCATAATATAACTTAACCAATTTATAAAATTCAAATCCCCAATTTAGTAATTCCAAACATACTTTAGATAAACTCATTTGTTTGTAACTCGGCTATAATAGAATCATAAAAGCCTTAAAATATGTAATAACATTTATGACATGGACCCAATCTTCAACCGCGTCAGTGTACAGTTAAGTCGAACCCTTACCCTTGTTGGTACCTGATGTACCTATAATAATCATTTATAGAATAAAAGGGTAAGCGCAAAGCTTAGTGACTTCCAACACATCCATATAACATATAAACATTAATATCATATATCCCGTGTCTATTTGGGAACAAATCCCAAACAACACCCAAATAAAGACTCGGTATTCAGTCGTCGAGTCCACGGAGTTGGCGTTTCCGCCTTCGGTCCCCCTGACTTGGCACAATGGCCTTCGGTCAGTCGGCTTGGTATTCAGCTGTCGCCCCCAACATATCGAATCGGTATTCAGCCGTCGAGCCCAAACATATCATGCATATACATTCCACATAACAAATAAGTACATCAAACATAACTAATGCAACAAGTATTACTTTAACTATCAACCATATAGTTCCTAGTCTCACCCGACCTGACTATAGACATATAATACTCTAAGGTTATGAAGTGAGGAACTCACCTCAAGTAGTCAAACACCCTTCAAATAATACAAACACCCCTTCACACCAGGTTAACCTTCAACTTCCTAATAATGACCAAAAAGAGTTAAGTTATGGTACTTTGATATCTCAAAAGTATAATGGCTTGAGTGTTATTTTTTTTTTTCAGATTTATACATAGAAATTATAGTATTGGTCGGGACCTATTTTACCCCCCTTAAACGCATTATTTTTCAAAACTGTTTTATATTCATTAAGTACAGGTCATTAGCTTTAAAAGTAGTATTCGCACACCTCTGTACGATTTTTCTACAATTTTTGACGATTTTTACAAAACTGCCTCGCAAAACAGTTCATTACGGACCAGTCTGGGTAAATGGTCCATTTCACCCTAGTTAGGGGCATTTCTGGCCTTTGGTCAAAACTAATTAAATGTATAGGACTCAAGAAAGAAACTCTGGCTTTTGGTTTCGACTAAAAAGGTTTTCGCATGATCGAGATATCATCTCTCAAAGATATGGACAGATTAGGGTAAAATCCTGAAATCACAGCTTTGTCTTTTTAGGGTTAATTTGACCTCTTAACCCATTAAGACCTATCCAATGAGGCTTATAATCAGTAAAATGAGTTCATAACAGTAGATTACTTCATTTATATAGAATTCAATGAAAATCTCAACCCCTTTTCTTTAGATTTCTTGCATAAAACATCAAAATAAGTACAATGCCCTCATGGGGAGAATACCAACTAGGGTTTAAGGTTTGGGACCAAAACAACCCATGTCACCACTTAGCCCTCAAAATACCTTGGAGCATCACTACCCACTGCCATAGTGGCAGTGGTGGCTGGCGGTGACTGCCACCACCTTGGCGGTGGTGGTGGTGGTGAAGATTTCGTTTAAAGGTAGAAGAGAAAGAAGGAGAATAAGATTGCATGACTTACTTGAGAATGATGAATGTTTCTCCCTTGATGAAGATGTCGTAGCCTCCTTCCAACCTTCACTTTCGATGCTCCCTTCTTCTCCACTCCCGTTCTTTCTTTTCTCCCCTCTCACTCACGGCTACACAAAGAAAAACGGCACCCCCTTAACTTCATAGGGTTAGGCCGAAATTTTGAGGCTTAATAGGCCTTTTGGACGTGATTATGGGCTGCCCTAAGTTGGTGTCCGATCAAGGGGGGTCCAAGGCTTCAAAAACATAGCATTTGACCCTTCAAGTTTGACATAACGGCTCCTCTAACCTCAAAAACAATTCCATTGCACAATGGGTCCATAATTAGCCCTAATTACCCCACTCTATTATTATTTTTTTAATA